AAAAAAAAAAAAAAAAAAAGCAGAGGATGAGAGTGAAGAAAATAGGCGGGAGAACGAATTATTATAGACGCATTGAAAACTATATTACCTATTTTTAATATACGTGGTTTTTGAGAAGTTGCACATTAATTAAGAATATTTTTTTGGTCAATAATAACTTTATTTAATGAAGATATAGATGAATGTTTTGAGAAAAGATGAATAGTGAATATGAAAAGACGTAATGTATTTATTAAGCTAAGTGAGAGTAACAATGGAAAAATATGTACAAAAAATCTAAAACGACATTTATTTGGTTAAAAGTTGATAAAGTCAAAATGAATTTAAAAAAAATATGATGGAGTATATATCTGGGCTGGGAAGTGCAGAGAAAATTACTATAATTTTTATTTATATTTTTAAATATTCACACTTAAGAAAAACTTGTTTTCAAATTATAAGTTTATTAACTTTAATGTCCTATATATTTGAATTTTAATTTACTTTTTCATTAATTCTTAGCATTATTTTTTATCACTCGTTTGTGAATAATTTATGTACAGTTTTATTTTAATGTCGTTTTTCAACAAAATAATTAAAAATAAATCCTCTCTTATCTTATTATATAAGAAAATGCTTTAGTTGTTGTGGGCTTGACAAGTGAGTGCCTAACTTGCATTATGATATAAGTTATAAAAATTAATATAATATAACACATGTAAATCATAAGTAATACATATCATTCTAAAATATATAGTTATATATTTTTTTTGTAAAAAAGTAAAATAAATTTAATATAGTTAGTTTATTAATTTTATAATTTAAGAATAATTTTTTAACCAGCACTCGTGTAATATACAAGTGTTGTACTAGTTATATAAGAAAATGCTTTAGTTGTTGTGGGCTTGACAAGTGAGTGTCTCACTTGCAGTGCCGGCTCAAGGGGAGGCACGTTAGGCTCATGCCTAGGGCCTCCCATTATTAGGGGCATCAATTTTATTTTTTTTTAAATATTTTAGGTATTTATGTTTGATTTTGTTTATTTACACAAATAAAAGAACTAATAATTAAATATAAATTTGGCCTATTACACAAATGAAGAGGCTAATTAATGAACAAACAATAGCAAAATTTATACTTTGTGTAGAAATTTGAGGTCCCAAATATTTCATTTGTTTTTTATAATGTTCGGTCAGAACAGTTGTGTGTGAATAAATATTCTTTGTTGTAATAAAATTTTTATTTTCTCTTCTTTGTTGTCTTCGTGACTGCTTAAGTGCAATTTATAATTTGTTAAAGGTAATTTTTCAATGTCTAAAAAAACAAGAAAATTTAATTATTTATTTATTTAATAGTCTTGTTTAATTAGACTTTTTTTTATGATTCTATTTACAAATACTTCTACCACGAAAATTTAAATTGAAAAATTCAAAAAATTAAAATTTGTCTGAGACCTCCAAATTTCTGGTTACGCCGTGCTCACTTGCCCAGGTCGCGACCAGAGAAACATTTCGCCCACTCGCGAGTGCATTTTTAGTGAATGTACGATGATTTGGGGTGTGAGTGTGACTATAAATTCATTTAGTCCCTTTGCATTTGGGACATGAAGCTTCATTTTCCACTTTTTTAGTTTAGGTATTAGCTTTTTTTTCATTTTTTTTTTTCTATTATTGTGTTTTTGAGCTCAAGACTCATGTTTCTCACTTTGCAGATTTTAATTAAAGTTTCTGAGTTTTTCTGCGTATATTTCGCCCAAGCATGCAATATAAAAGTAAGTGACTGATTTAGGACTTATTATTTCGAAGTTGCTCTATTTTTGCTTATTACGTGGTTTGAGGTAAAAATGGTGCCTTGATCAAAATTTATGTGAAAAGACTCGGTTTTCATTAAAGTTTTTTTTTCTTTTGTTTTGCTCGTCTTGTATGATTAGTAGGTTAAACGTTGAATCTTTCGAGGTAAAAATTGTGACTTTGTTGAAAAGTCGGTTATTTCACAATTGAATGCTTGACTTTAACCTCTAGTTGCATTAGACTTAGCTCGTTTCTTTTGTTTTTCGTCCTTTCTCGAGTGTTGAAGACTCCGTCTTAAGTAAAGTTTAAATTTTTAGTTGAAGCTTGCATCTTAGGTGATCATTCTTACATTCTTAGTTAAAATAGCTTAAAATAACCATCAAACTTGTTTAGAATGTTTAGGATCTTTAGTTTTTCATTTCCGTGTCTTTTGACGACTAGTTAGCAAACAAAGTTCCGAATAGTCTTCCTTAAGAGACGACCCGAGGTTCTAAATTACTTAGTTAGGAATCAATTCCCCAATTTTATACTCAACAATGAAGCTTGCTAAATTGCTCGTTGATTCAAACGTTGAACAACTTGCAAGCTGGTTTGGGCGAGGATCTAATTCAAAATTTTAGTTGAGCAACTCGAATCTGGCTAAATTGCTCGTTTATTCTAACTTTGAACAGCTCACGAGTTGTGTTGGGCAAGGACCTGATATGAAATTTTAGTTTAATAGCTTGAAGGTGGCTACATTGCTCGCTGATTCCAACTCATGGATTCCATCTTTGAACAACTCTCAAAGTAGGTTGGGCGAGGAACTAATTTAAAATTTTAATTGAACATCTCGATGCTAGCTAAATTGCTCGTTGATTCCAACTTTGAATAGCTCGCAAGTTGGGTTAGACAAGGACATAATTTAAAAATTTAGTTAAACAACTCGAATATGGCTAAATTGTTCACTTATTCTAACTTTAAACACCTCGCAGGCATGGTTAGGCAAGGACCTAATTCAAGAATTTTAGTTGAACAACTCGAAGCTGGCTAAATTGCTCGCTGATTTCAACTTTGAACAACTCGCAAGATGAGTCGGGCGAGGATCTAATTTAAAATTTTAGTTGAATAGCTCGAAGCTAGCTAAATTACTCATTCATTCCAACTTTGAAAAGTTTGAAAGTGGGGTTGGACGAGTACATAATTTCAATATTTAATTTGAACATCTCTAAACTAGCTAAAATGCTCACTGATTCCAATCTTGAACATCTCGCAAACGGAAATGGGCGAGGCCACACTAGTTGTGAACTAAATAGGAATTTCCTTCAGGCTAATGTTATAAGTAACGAGTTGGAATTACTTGGATGTCGATGGCAACCTAAATTCAAATTACAAATTGAAACATTCAAAACGAGATAAATATTCAAATGGTCATCACGACCTTACAAGAAGTGGAAAAAAAAAAAAATACCCAAAGTAACATTCACGAGATAAAAATACTATTGAATAAACAAACATTTAAAAGAGTTAAATATTCAGATGATCATCGCGACCTTCCAAAGTACAACTCAAAATTGATGTTTTACATGTCAACACGACCTCAGGATTTTCAAGCTAATAACTCTCATTTTCACTACCTTACAAAAAACTGACTAAAAGAAAAACAACTATTGAATTGTTTCATCACAGTTGAACGGTTGGTCGACTTCACCAGATCCCACCAGCTCCACGTGGCCGACCAGAGGGTTGGGAGGAGTATCCAGTTAGTTTGATAACCCCGCCTTGGCAATAGCCTTAGCCTCAAGGCCGACCCACCACGGATGGTCAACAGGAAGTGTTGCCCTCATACCCGTCGAGTAGCAACAATTCCTCTTGCGCGAGCTCCTTAGTAAACTGGCCTGAGAAGTCGGCTTTGTCAGCTCGGATTCTACGGCAATAAAGACATGGAAATACTGGTAGGTTGCGAGAGTTATATATCTAGAAAAGTCGGCAAGTTGACAAAATGGTCAATGACCTCCTGATGATAAGCCTTCGTTCTTCTCCACCAACTCCTTCTCATGGTCGGTTGTGACCTCTCAAACTTGCTGAGAACAACTTTTTCGACACAAGGTTTGGTGATAATCGCGTTTGCATCCACGAGCCCTTCGCACTTCTTCTCCAGCTTGCTATACCTTTTCGCGAGCTTCTCGCTGAAGGTGTCGAGGTTAGTTTCATGGGACATATTCCCTTCCTTGAGGATAAAGACGACGACAGAGAGGAACTGCAAAATACACAATGTTCAGGCCACAAATATCATGCAACAACCTATTAGTAAGATAGATAGTATAATATTTCAATTTAAAACAGTCAATTAATTTTAATGAGAAAAGAAAGAAAGCACAAATCTAATACATTGGATGACACAATATATGTGTTGATCCAATCCACACAAATATTGATCCAACGATAAAATACCGATAGAGGAGTATGAGGTAGGATCAAAATTATTTAGTCCCGTCAAGGGATAAAGCAGTGCATACAAGAGTGCTGAATAAACGGATACAGAATAACATACAAGAAGCAATCATGAAAAGAGAAAAATACAATAAATCCAGCAACGCGTGCTAACGCCAACACCTTATTTCAATATGAATGAAAAAAACAGAAAGAAAGAAATAAATATGTCCAAAACACGACATGCCTCCACCCACCCGAAATTCGCTTCCCATCTTCCAAAAATCCGCGAAAAATAAAAGAGAATAAAATAAAGCTGAACAACAAAGCTTCATGGGCTGTTCAAGAAACTGAGTAATCAAATGTCTTAGCTCTCACTCTATTTCTACATATAGTATAAGATCGCAGAGCAACCCAGTACAAAATACACCAGAATTCACGACGTTCAACCTCAGTCAGGCTTAACCTGCATTAGCATTCCTTTGCCAATCAATTGCGTCCTTATGTCACAGCCCTCGTGTCACAGAAACAACACCCATGCCATGCAGTTCCACTGTTTACGCAAGAATGAAGAAAAAACACAAAACTCAGCTGAGCAAGTCCTTGAACAAACTCGGGTTCTGGCCCGATGGCGTGAACCCCATCTGCCTCACGAGGGCATCCTTCTCCAGTGCTTCCTTTAAATTCGGTCCCTTATTGATTTGCTGTATGGTATTCTCCACATTACTCCCTCCTCCAAGACTATTCCGGACACCAAGACCGTCCCCCGTCACAGACATGTCAGCAAACAGAGACATAACATCGGAGGATGGCCTCACATCCAAATCAACTCCAACTCCATCTCCGCCACCACCACTTGAAGTGTTTGTCGTGTCCTGGGAAAAGTCGAGAAGACCTTCCAATTCCTTGAAAGGGTCGAAAGATGGCCCACCATCGCTACCCATAGATAGCTCACCCAAGTCGAGCAAGTCAGGTGGCGGTGGCTGGGATGCTTTGGCAGCAGCCGAGTGGGGCTTTTCCAAAGTGGAAGCCTGATTCAGAGACTTCTGGCGTCTCGACTCTGTCCTCGACCCCCCGCCGAAGAGTGAGGCTGCCAACTTTTGCTTCTCGGACGAAATCTCAACTTTTTGCTGCTTTTTCAAATTGTTATTATTGCTGTAAGAAGAATCACGGGACCTCGAATTCGAATTGTCCATAGCCGCGTCGCTCTCACTCTGAATCCTTATGTTATCCGTGCTTGAAGTGGATGAGGATGGGGAGGAGGTGTACGAGGGGCGGCCCCATTTCCTCTGGACCCCATCGAGCCGGAGCTTGAGCTCCAATTGGCCAGCATCTGAGAGGTGCGGAGTGGCTGCAGCTGGTTGGGATGTGGAGTACGTAAGCTTTGGGACAGGGACGAGGTCGGATGAGGATGCCAGCACAGGGGGATAATTTAAGGGTACTGAGGGTTTGGGCAGCTCGTAGGCCTCGAACCTGAGGGCTTGGTGCGTGGACGGCTCGTGATCTTCGTGGAGCTTGAAATTGTTGATGCTCGACATCCCTTGGCGCTCGCTCTCGGGGATATATGGCTGGGCGCCATTTTCGAGCGACTTTTGGACGTAGGTGTCAAGAAACGAGAGATTCTTGTCAATCTGACAAAAAAAAAAAACTGTCATTAGATGTGCTGTGTGATGTGGGCGTAATGAAGTAGCAATGACAGGAAAGTGAACTGGTGCACATAACTATGAATCATGAGAATAATAACAGAAGACGAGTCTTACAGTTAGTTTAGGCAAAAGTAATTAGGTTGACATAAACCAAAATAACATAGTACATATGCAGACATTCAGAATATCATACAGTAAATCTTGCCAAAATCATGCCAAACATTTATTCTCCAAATCAATTTAGCTGGTTTGTGACTTGAGACATTTGCAGGTTCAAATGAAGTATTCCAAGGAACAAGGTCCAAAAATTTAGTTCTTCTTTTTTTGGGTTGGGGGGTTGGAGTCGGGGTGGGTGGAACCGTGGAAGGGAAGTTAGTACATAAACAGAAAACTAGCTTGTGTAGATGTCGCATTTGTATTTTCATAAACAACAATTGTAGGTCAAGCACCAATTTGTTATTAGTAACGGAACACCAAAAGTGAGCATAACTAAAACTTAGTGCTGATAAATGTATTACCTCAATGTCATCACAAGTGGAATCCCTTGGCATTATTTTCTCAACAGCATGGGCATCTAAACTAAGAATTGCTTGGAGTTCATAGGCACGCTGCTGAAGGTCAGTTGAATGAGATGCTAGCAAATCTTCAATCAATGATTGGCACTGCAGAAGATAGCCATGAGGAAATCAGAAATCTTTCAACATAATTCAAGGAATCATAAAGCAGGACATTAAAACATGTATGTCAAGTGTTTCTACAACTCCAGCAATATCATGTCTAGGGTATATCAGTTGCAGAATCCTGCCAAACACGTAAATGATAGAAACATGCTTGAGACACAGGTATAGTCATATAGAGTTAAACTATGACAACATTCTTAACTGAGTACCTCAGACAGTATGTCCACAGTTCTCCCAGCAGCTATTTCAAATGAATGTATCTTCATAATTGCTGAAACTGCATACGCCTTCAGAACAAGACAGAAACAAAGAATTACAAAGAAAAAAAATTTATCAGTACGGAATACAGGCATGCGCAAATTCAAGCGTGATAGAATGAGGCAGCAAGAGACAGTGTTTGCTAAACTTAACATGAAATCACATGAAAACTTCAATATTATGTATCCCTTTTCCAACGTATAGATCTAGCTTCAGTCATAGCTTCCATTACAATAGTAGATTTTTGAAATGATAAATTTCAGTTTTACATGTACGAATATACATTAGGAGCAATTCTTCTTTTTCCGTACGTGAAACAAAAGCAGAAAAAAATCTACCAGATCAATTATTTTGCAGAAAGGCAAAATCAAGAGAGGTTACATGCAAATATAGATAAGATCTAAATTTTTAATTTGTCCAATATATAGGAACACATTTATATAAAAATTGCATCAAAGTAGTAATACACAAAAAATAAGACATCATGCACAATACTACATAGCACGATAAAATACTACCATTTCAAATGCAAATGCACATTATAAACAAACAGTTACTTTAACGGTATCATCTTCTGGATGTGCATCTGCCACATCACACAACTTCCCAGTGATATATGAGGCAGAATACTTCCCATCAGCAGTCCCATATTCCCCCAAGACCCAACATATCACCTTCAAAATAAAACATTTAAGGAAGCAAAGCGTGAGGGAGAGTGAGTGAGACACAGAGGCAGATCCAATAACAAGACAAACCTGAAACTGAAAATAAATAAAAAAGCAGATGCAAATCTATGGATAGAAGAACACACACACACACAGAGAAAGAGAGACAATGTGATATAACATACTTGAAGGAAAGCAGATGGAAGTTTTGGCTCCCCCATTATTCGAAGATAAGACTCGACCTGCACCCCAGTTATCCAGATTCTTCTTAGAAGTGCTAAAAGGAGCCAATAAATTTGATCCACAGAAATCAAATTCAGTGAAAGGTTTTTGTAAGATTAACATGTATTTTTTAAAAAACAAAAAAACAAAAAAAAAAAAAAAGAAATGACAAATTAACAATTTAGGAACAAAAATATCCGTATGTGACAAGATCAGCAGCAATTTAAAACCCCATCTCAGAAACAAGAGATTGGTGATAAAAGGTCATTCTTCTTCGGCAGTGGTAGTTAAGACCAAGAACTAAATCGACTATTCTCAACTTTCCCAAGCTTCAAGTGTGCAGCGAGTGCAAGTCTTTAGACTTGCATTAACACCATTGAATTGGCCCTACTTTAGAAAATAAAAAGGAACTTAAATTATAATAAAAATTATGTTGAAACATGTGGTATCAAAATCTCCCACGTTTATCTGCAGCATCCTCAACAAGACCAGACATAACTAAGAACATGCCAGCTAAGCTACTGAGATGGTAGAGTTTGTGAAGGTAAACGGAACCAGGAAATCAAAAGTATTTCTATTCAGTAACTTTTTGCCTTGAACAGCACGTAAGTTCTTAAACTTCATAACAGCCAGACTCATACATTTCTCATGTCCTAATCCCCAAGCAGGAATGCACATACTTTTCTGCAATTATTTTATATCGGTAGGATAAGCATAGCACTAATTCCTTCTGAATCTAAAAGAAAATTGACATTTAACTTTCTTCAAGTCTTAGAAAGACATATTAGTTTGAAGATTAAGAACAAGAATGTCCTGAAATCAAAAGGGAAAAATATCACTTAGTGGCCTCTCCAATAATCCCCATCCAAATGAGTTTTTGTCCAAACCTAGTGGATACTAATCTATTTGTTTATTTGTTTCCACATGTCATGATAATTGACCAAACCAAATAGCAAAAAGACTAACATAGTTACTGCCAATGAGCTTTCTTAAAACAAATTACAGTTAGACGTGGATGTAATATAATATAATGTAATATTAGTCTACTGCATCTTGTTCCAGTAAGAACCATTTCACATCCTGACTCGACTCTTTCTAGTTTTATCATTCTCAAAGAGATATTTATCCTCTTACCTATAAAAAACACAGCAAATACAATAACTGAAACAGTATATAGGCATATCGACATATACCAAGCTAAGTGTGATAGAAAAACCATAATCTCAAATAATCAATGAGAATATTTTCAATAACAAGATGAACTCGGAAGATACGTAGAACATTTAATTGTTTGAAGCGAGACAAAACGTGTGGACCAGAACAAAACTCGGATCCTAAATGAGAACATACAGCTGATGATCTAAGCTGACTATCTGCAGTATCATCATCTTCCCCAAATCCCTCAGCAATCAATCGCATCAAGTTATGTGCAACTTTGGCATTTACCAGGTCCCCTGCATGCTCAAATACTCTATTCATGGTCTGACAAATAAAACAAGGAAAAACAAACAGAAAATAAAAATTCTTTAAATTTAGAATAAATAAAAAGAGACAAGTTAGTATGAAAGTCACTAAGCTAACCTGTATAAACCATTGGTTGCTTGGAGCAAATTGTTCTGCAAGTTCGACGCATCTGGACGCTATTTCAGTTTTATAGTGATTATCACTTATGCTTATCATGTATTCAATCATGCGATCCACAATTACTTCTACATTTGATGACTTGGTCATTTTATACAGTAATTCAAATGTTTTGCGCTTCAGGGTGTCATCTGGATCCTAAATCAACAGAAGTCCAGGTTACAGCTCAACCACAAGCATACATGTATTTAACCGGAATTGCAGAATAAATTGTAGAGCCAGGTCAAGTTTTCATTCAGGGGAAAAGCATGGGAGGGGGGAGAACAAGAATGAAGAAATAGAAATTATATAATATTAATAATGATAATGATAATACCAATAACAAAAAGAGGAAACAAATGTCACAAGGATCCATACACAAACTAGCACTAGCGTCCAAATCTGACCACGACTACATTAATTAAAAAACAATGCAATTACCACTCCAAGTCATTGTTCTTCTTTCTACAGCATGTTTGAAAATTTAACTGTCTAAGTTGATTCCAAAGAGCAATCACAACAACCCAGTCAAAATTTAGCTCCCCCTAACCTCCATAGTCTTTTTAAGTTTCTAAAACTCTTCTAATTCCAGCTTTAAATTCCTTATTTGATTCCTTTTGAATTACTGATAACAATACGAAACTTAATGCAAAACTCTATAAAGAGCATGTGACCATGCCACATTATGACAAGAATAAGCGGCAAACACACATTATTTCTATTTTTCATAGGAGAACTATAAGACTGACAAGAATGCAAGCATGTAATAACAAATACACCAGAAGTTTTAAACAATTCTGCCAATGACATCAAATAAGAAAATTTACGAAAATGGGGCAATGTATCTCACCTCTAAGCAATCAATGACAGCCAGTTGATGCTGTTCCGCTATTTCTGGGCTTACCTTTATCAGTCTACTAAGAGCATCAATACCAAGATATTTCAGATTGTGGCTGTCGCTCTACCCATTGGATATACATCTAGTTAGTTTTACATTGTCAAATTAAAAATTATCATTCAATCTCGAAATAATATTAACCAAGGTGCAAAATTCAGACCTTCAGAAATTTTGAAATGGCATCCGCAGCAGCTTCTAGCAACTTAGGGTTCGGGTGTAAGGATGAAACACAGCACACACTCTCATAGAGAATTGCATTACCTATATTCGTTGTTGAGTCACATTTTCTCATAATGTCTCCAACAATTGTGTACATTTGTTCACTGGCTTTTTTGTCCCCACTACCTAGTAGAGCCAGAATTTTCAACAATTTGATCTGTCAAAAGAAGATAAAGGCATTCAAAATTAGTGCTAAGTGTGATATGAAAGCATAAAGAAAAGTAAATCAATATAGGTTTCTAAATTAGCAAAAGCCTAAAACTATGTGAAATCTGCATTTCTGATCTCTGCAGTTAAATAACCTCTAGTTTTTCTCACAATACAGTTAGTTTTTCCCCAATGCCATTTCATTTTCTTTCAGGTATTTTTGCCAATGCTTGCTAACAGTTTAGAAAACATTCTCATATACAAGTACATATAACTAGCAACCTCAAGATAACTATATCACAATCAAGCTTTTAACAGTGCATTGAGACTAAGTCAACTTGGTGTATGGAGTACACGATTTCCAACAATTAGTTTCATTTTAGTTTTGTAGTAAGCATCAGTGAGCATTTTATATATCGTATACCTGCATGATTACAGTGAAAATGGAAAACAGGCTAACCTGAATGAAAGGAGCAGGCATTTGATGATAGTCGTAACTTTTTGGTAGTCTCCGTTCAGCTACTTGTTTAAGAATGTTAACGAAACTAACAACTAAATCTTTATACTTGTCCGCATCAATTGCAATAAGATCAAACAGTGGGCAAAGCGTCGCACCCATAACACCAGGATCGTTATCACAAAGCCTCTGGAACAAAGCCACAATACCTTAGTTTCCTTTGCACTTAAAATATCAATTGCGATATTAGCCAACAAAATTTTAATCACCTATCATAATATATCAGAAGTCTGAATAGCCATCTTTCGATAGGAACAAGACAAAAACAGGAGCTTTATTTTGTTATACATTGTCCTGAGCTATCTTCGTTTCCTCTTGCAGTTGAAAATACAAATAGCAATAACTACAGTCATGTATACAAAATATTTAAAAATTCATACAACTCCGTGATCATGTTTAAGCAATCCAAGTGAACTTGCCTCACATCCAATTATGAAGAATTCAAGCTTCTAGCATGATAAGTCATCACATTATTTTATTTATTTCAGAATGACATAATCCATAGAAAAAGTTCTTCCGTCCTCCCTGAGCATTTCTGATCTGCTTTTCTGTTCCATGTTTATATTTCTTACAAGTACTGGCATGAAATGAGTTCTCGACCTTTTTTAACAGTTTAAAATTTCTTTAGTCTACGACTTTATAAACTCCCGAAAATACACGAATAGAACACTCCAATTTTCCACCATTGATTTGCATACACATTCAGAAGTATGATTTTAAAATCTGAGAAACACAAAGGTCTCACACCCACATCCAACACATTGCGTAACTTTCTGGTTACATAAACCACACCTGATCATTCAAATGTGTCCTAATCACATGACTAAGGTGGAAAGTACCATCATATTCATCCAAATGGGAAACAAAGTCAAAGAAACTAACTACTATGAAGTGAACACCAAAACTCCAATTAAAACATATACACACAAATTCAACTGCAAATCGAGATTATGCACCTTGCGGAAATTGGAAATGAGATGAGAAACCGATCCAGGAGCCCTCTGAAAGAAACGGTGAAGTGCCATCACAGCTTTCTTCCTCACTGTCTCCTTCTGATGCCCCAACAGCTCCACAACCTGCGGCAGTACCGCCGGGATAGTTTCCTCATTGATCAATCGGCACACGGCATTCAAGGCAGCACAAACAACCAGATAGTTATCGCTCTTCAAGTCCTTCTGCATCGTGTTCACGATCAAGATAATCAAATCGTGATCCTCGTTCAGGAACAGAGTCACGGCCAGGTACCCGGTCCTCTTCAGAAGCAGATTATCATCGTGCGTCATCTTGACGGCATGGATGTATCCGAAAGAGGCATCATGGCCAAGCATCTCGACATAGAGGAGGCGGATTAAATACTCCTTCAGCTTGAATTTCGGGGTGTTGGGATCCGACAACCTGGACTTCAAGGTTTCGATTTCGCGCACCACAATGCGGTCCTCCTCGGCCTTGGATCGAGACTCGCCGATGGATTTGATGAGATCGAGGAACTCTTTGGACTGCCCAAAACCGCCTTGGGAGCCCATGGCGAGCTCCCGGCCTATTGTCTTTAGCTGCTCCAGCTTTTGACGATGATTGCAAATTTCAAGCGCCTTGGATCAATCTGAAGCGAAGTGGATGAAATCCGAATTATGAATCGGTTTGGGTTTAGGGTTTGTGCAAATTGGGGAAGATCTGGAGAGAGAAATCAGGCCAGGAGAATGAAATGTGTGTAACGTGTTTCTCGTGTAGTATGTAGAGTGATGGATGCTTCATGTACTTTTGCGACGTGTATAGAGAGAGAGAGGGAGAAGACGACACTTCGAAGAAAAGATTTTGCAGTGCTAATTTTTGTTGTACTGTTACTTATTAATGGATTACAGTTCAAAATAATATGTAAATTTCTGCTTCA